TTTAAATGCAAGGGCTTCACATCAGTCCTCCTTTTGGGAGCAATTTTTGTTTCTCAGGATTTTGTTCTCTTGAACCTGTCCTTGCACTAAAGGCAGCTCAGGCCTCCTACCTTTGAGTGGGGAGTCTGCTTCTTGTGCAAGTGGAGGCTGCAGTCCCAGATCTTTGGGAGGACAGATCTGTCAGCAGGTGGGAGGATGGGCAGGATCACAAGGGGAGGAGGAGGGCCAGTGGTGCTTGGATGCAGAATGCCTGCAGTTGTCAGTGAGTGTATGAGCAGCCCTGTAAAGTCCAGTAGTTATAGACAATGATTTTTGTGGCCAAAGTGACAGCAGGAGTACAGGCACAGAGTGCTGGGACTAGATTGGGCTCCCCCAGGCTGATTTGGAGGGCTGGCACAGAGACCTCAGGAACATAAAAGGCCTCCCTCTCTGCACCTCAGCTCTGTGTGAGTAGGAGGAGTGTTCAGTACTGCTCTCCCCTCAGATATGCAGCAGCACGGGTGCGCCATGAGCTGGAAGGCACACGATGGGGAAGTCTACTCCGTGGAGTTCAGCTATGATGAGAACACAGTCTACAGCATAGGAGAGGATGGCAAGGTAGGCTGGGGATGACTTCCTAGTGCTCAGCTGGCAGAGAGGTTACTTCTGGAGTCTTCTCCATATGGTGGGGACAATTGCAAAAATATGGTCAGATTCTGGATGAAATGTGGGCTGCTAACTGCAGTCTTAGGTGTGCAGTACCACCCTGCTCCAGGTAATCTGCAGAGAGAGTGGCTGAAAAATGTGTTCATAGTTGGAGCTGTCTTTGACCTTGTGTGCAAATCCTTTTGTTGGTGACATCCTTTTCCTAGACAGTCCATATGAGCATGACCTTTCTCTGCCCCCGAGATGACCACATTTGAGATTTGGGATTCACAGGGAGGCATATCCTTGACCACTTTACCTAAATCTCGTCAGCAGCTCCCTTTATAATTGTTATTGCAATTTTTATTATTGTTTATAATAAACACTTCAATCTCTGCAGTTCCTCAGTCTTCGGCAGTAGAGAGAGGTGTGGCTCAGGGAGGGACCTTGGCTGAGGAGTAAAGCAAATTCTCACCAGAGTACTGCATGCAGTGTGGAAAGACACATAGACAGTAGTGCTTGAGGAAGGCAGAGAATATCTTTGCCTGGATAGAAGGCAGTCTCACAGCCTTTGCAGCCTGTGTTTTAATAATATAGCCACTTAGGTATAGATATCAAGAATGCCATCTTCTATTGAGGAATACCCACTATTTTGCTTAAAAGCAAAAAAAGGCAACTGCACTTGCATCCCAGTTAATTTCATTATAGGCTTTTCTCCTATCTTTCTCTTATTCTAGTTTATTCAGTGGAACATCCATAAAAGTGGCTTGAAGGTGTCTGAGTATGACCTTCCCAGGGAAGCCACAGGTCCTTTTATTCTGTCTGGGTACAGTGGCTACAAGCAAGTCCAGTTCCCACGAGGGCGGCTTTTTGCCTTTGACTCTGAGGGCAATTACATGTTGACATGTTCTTCTACTGGGGGAGTCATTTTTAAGGTAAGTCTGAAAAGTAATGGGGACTACTCTTAAGTATCCATACAAACTTCTGTTAATTACAGGGGTGCAACAGCAGCCACTGGAAGTTTTTAAGCAGCACATACCCATCCTGGCTCTGTCAAAGCTGTTGCTCAGTTTCACACAGTGTGCATTTTAGCAGTGTGTAGTGAGTGTACAGCAAGTGTTTGGGTCCTACAGCTGGAGTATTTGTGCTCTTTCTTAAAGCCTAGCTTTAAGTGTCCAAGTGACTAGGACAAAGTTTTAATTACTTTTTTAATGTATGGATGCATGCCAGTTCAATGCAAAATGTATGATTGTTGACTGGTGCTCATGTTCAGTCTGCCTTCTGTGCCTGCTGATTCTATGTTAGATCCAGCCTGATCCTTGTTCCTTACTGTGTACTGAAATTAAACAAAGGGTAAGGCTGAATGGTTCTGAGTACCCAAATTTCTGTGCTTCATTAACAAGTGTTACTTATCACATGCCCATGCACTTGCAAGGCAGATTAGATGGAAGTTTTGCTTTGCATCTGGGGCACTCAGAGCACCTGAACTAACATGAGCTATAGCTTAGGCTTATGTGCTTCTCATCAGTGTATGCTCTTAGCCTGCCTTGTTCAATTACTGCAGTTCTGTTGATGTCAAAAGTTGAGCTGCTGGAGAGCACATGCTTCTGTAGTGAGACTGGAAGCTTCCTTTCTCGTGTGTGCTACACATATCTCAGTATCTCTCTGATTTTCTGCTTACTTAGCATGCTTTCTGCATGCTCTTAGAGATACAGAGTCTCTATCAGGCTTTGGTTTGTCTTGTCAGGTGCATTGCCCCCACAGAAACGTATCTCCTTAAAATCTTATATTTTCTTTCCTTTTAGTTAAATGGTGAGGAAAAGGTTCTGGAGAGCTGCCTTTCCCTGGGAGGACACCGAGCTCCTGTTGTCACAGTGGATTGGAGCACAGCTATGGACTGCGGGACCTGCCTCACTGCTTCTATGGATGGGAAAATTAAATTAACAACCTTACTGGCTCAAAAGTCTTAACCTGGACAGTACTGAAGGGGGAAAGAGCAATAGAGATGACAAACCCAGTGTTAACTCACAGGAACAAACTGCATGGGAGAGAAGGCAAAAAAGTCCCTCTTCTCAGTGTAGCTTTTGCCTCTTTATAAATACATTTGCCAAACCACTGTGCAACAGAATGCCAGTATGGGACTGGATCAGTGGCAGCACTGAAAAATAAGTCTCCACTAATCCATTGTGGCAGCTGGACTTCCCTCTGTTAGGGAGTCTTGAGTAGCACATGGCTAAAAGGCTGTGGTCACGTCTGGGTTCTGCAGAAGAAGGTGAGGCTGGAGGAAGCAAGCATGAGGCAGCACAGTGCATGACAGTAAGATGACTCAAACTGGAAAGGCTGATGAGAAACCAGAGTATTCTTGGTATAACATTTGTTGTTATTATTTTGTTAGTTTGTTTTTATTTGTTTTTTTCTGTAAAAAGAAAATATTCCCTTGCATTTGAACTCTATGCTTTGTTCAGCAGTTGCTGCAAAACATGGAGGGTGGTGAGGGCAGTGATGTGCCAAGTCTCCTGCATGCAAAAAAGCTCTTGTGTTCCCACCAGGTGCTTCCAGCACCGCATCTGCACACCAAGGTGAACCAGACATCCAGGAAGAAAAACAACTGCGTTTGCTTGGATGTATTGTGTTACCTTGCTACCAACCAGAGCAGAAATTTGAGTCAGACTTTGAAATACTTGTGTTGGAGTTCAGAAGCTACATAATGCCTAGCAGGTACCTGATGGTGGAGAGGGGGAGGGAGGGAGGCCAGGACCAGTCTGGCCCTGTATAGGGCTCTCTGTCACTGGAGCTGTCTCTTCCCCCTAAGCCCCCAACATCAGGCAAGTGCTGTGCTCAGGCATTGCAGAGCCCTTGAATGGACTAAGCAGATACATTTCATCTGCTTACACATTGCCATGGAGCTTTCTGCTGCTTGTGTCCTTGGCCTGTACTGGGAGTTTGTGGTACTGTTGTTCCTTGGCAGAGCATACACTTTGCTGGAAAATGAATGGCCATTCATGAGCCATATGGGTATCCATGCTCACAGACAGCTGTTCAAGGATAACACTGCTGGATACTGAAATCCTCACTACAGGCATATTCATGCTACAGGTACCAGTTGTCCATGGAGTAACTTGCTCCTGCTGACTACACTCATAACGCTGCCTTCCATTCTCCAAGATTGACAGGTCTCCTGCCAGACTGACATCTAAATACAGGGTTTCCACCTCAGTGGGATATGATACTAATGGTGCAACTGCTCTTCATGCCAGTCTGAGCTAGTGTCCCCTCAAATCCAGTGCTGAATTCGAACTGGCTTCAGGAATTCCCAGGGTTTGTCTGGGAGTTTAGAGAGCTCTCAAATAGGAGCCTTTGTTTGCCTCTCAAAAGGCCAAGAAAGATTGTGGCTGTATTCCAAACCCTGCAGTGCTGACTACATTGCATAGGGGTTTTAGAATTTAGAATTACAAAATTACAGAATGGTCTGGATTGCAAGGGACTTAAAGCTGTTCTAGTTCCAACGCTGCCATGAGCCCAGCCACCTTCTACTAGACCATGTTGTCCAAAGCCCCATTTAATGTGGTCCTGAACGCTACCATGGATGTTACTTTCTTCCAGATGTTACCTTCCAGCCCTCACAGAGGGTCACTTGAGGTTTCTGGAGAGAGACTACTTTCAGGTTTGCTTCATAAGTAGGACTATGAGCAACACAAAACCCCCAAACAGGGAAAGAAAGTGTAAAAAACAAGTGCCAGTCCAAGGCTGCTACGCAAAATGATAGTACATTAGCACAAAATTGATACTGTGCCAGAAACCTGGAGGGAAGGAGTGAACATGTTTTCCTAGAACAATGCTCAACATGCTGTATTCGCAGAGGGGCTTTCACCATCCTTGGCCCAGGCTCCCGTCTCCTCGCTTCCCGGCACGAGTCCCCGCCGCTCCGGCGGAGCGCTGCTGCCCTGCGCGCCCGGGTCCGCAGAGGGCGCCCTGGCGGCGGCGGGCGCGCTCAGGGCGGCACCGTAACCGAGCGCTCGGGGGCGGCACGGCGGTACCATAACCGAGCGTTCCGGGGCGGCACGGCGGCACCGCGACCGAGAGCTCGGGGCGGCGCCGGGCCCGGCCCGCCAGGCTGCCCCGGGGCTCGGAGGCTGCACGCCTCGTTCCCAACGCCCCGTCTGCTCCGCAGCTGGCCCAGAGCCGTGTTTGCTCCTTGACGGAGTATGGAAGAACGCGATATTGCCTGCCTGTCTGATCAAACACGGGGCTCTGTCGTGACTTGGGTTTTAGGGCGGCCTGGGGCTGCTTTTCCAGCTCCCCTGTGTCCCGGTCGGGCGGGAAGCAGCCCCGGTGTGACGGCGGAAGGCGCCCCGGCGGCACCGCCCCGCGTGGGCATGGCGGCTGGGGCTCGGCGGCGGCAGCTCCCCGCCTGGATGGGGGCGGCGGGGGACGGGCGGGCGGCGGCGGCCCCGGCCCCCAGCACCGGGCGGCGGCGGGCGGCGGCGGGGCGCAGGTAGCGCCGCTGGGGCGGGGGAGAGGCCGGGGCGGCGGGAGGGAGGGCGAGCCCAGCGCTGCCCGCGCTGAGCGTCCTCTGTGCATTGCCCAGGCCGGCGGCGCTGTACTGCATGAACGAGGCGGAGCTGCTGGAGGTGGCCCTGGCGGTCCTGGCCGAGGTGAGCCGGGACCTCCGGGGGTGGGGGCGGCAGCTCCGGAGGACGGGCAAGGAAGCGCTGCTGCCCGCGGCTCCCTGGCGGCCCTCTCCGGGCGGGCCGGAGGGCGCTGCCGGTGCCGCATGGCTTTCCCGGCCTCTCCTCTCTGTCCCAGCGGCGCTGCTGCCTTTGCAAAGCACAACCGCGGGCCTGGGGCCTGGCGAGGCGCGGCTCACGGGCATGGTGGGCTGCCCTCCTGCTCCTTGGGTGCTCCCGGCGTGAAGTCATGCACGGCAGGCCCTTGTTGTTTTCCTTCTGATCAGAATCTACAGAGCGAGGAAGGTGAGGAGAAGGCCCTGTCCGGGAGCGAGGAGGAGCAGGAGATCCCGCCAACACCAAGCGAGGCCAGCACGGATGGAGGCAGCGACCGCGGTCCGGCACTTCCATCCCCTCCTGCTGCTGGTGCTGAAGCAGAGGGGACAGGCGCGGAGAACTCTGAGGACGATGTCCTGAAATACGTCAGGGAGATCTTTTTCAGCTAACATCTCTGACTTCCCTGGAGAAGAGGGCATAATGGGGAGGGTGTCTCCTCCCGCGGCCCTGGGAAGGGTGGGAGGAGGGCCTGGTGGGGGCTGTGCATCCATCTGCTGTGCCGGTGCCCTGTGTAGCTGGTAGGATACCCAGGAAGGCTAGGGGGGAAAGGAAGGAGGTACTCAGTTCTCCCAGTCTGTGCTGGGCTCAGTGGGATTTGGCTCCAGATTAGGATGTGTTTGATTCTGTTTCACATTTCAGAGCACGGACAGATAAAAGAAGACATTCGGGTTTCTGTGAGTATCCCTTTGGTGGGTTGGTGTCGGGCATGGAGGCAAGCAGGGAGCTGCTGACCTGGAAGACCTTTGCTGGCAGAGCTACATGGTCATGGTTCAGCCATGAGGCTCCCTTGTCCTTGTGGTCCCTCAGTCACAGCTGCAGCGGGGCCTGGCAGGCTGTTCCCATTGGGCCTGGTGCTGAGTTTGCCTCCAGACTCCAGCTGTCTTCCCAATGCTGAGGAACACAAACGGGAGCAGAGTGGCCGGGGCTGGACTGCCCTGAGGGGACTGACCCCGTGTTGGGGCTAGTGTGCATGGGGGTCTGGGAAGGAATGAAGATGGCTCGGAATCCTCTTCCCAATAAAAAAAAAAGGACAAACAAGCCACATGAGGCCAGCTGTGAGAGCATGTATTAAAATGAAGAATCGATCAAATCAGCATCACCAGCCTCATCGCCACCAAGGCTGAAGCAAGAGAAAACAGACCCTCATGTCCCTTGAAACAAATTCACTCAACTGCAAAGAATATCACTGTTAAGCAGGTATTCTTTATTTACATAAATTCTCCCAGCCACTGGATGAATTAATGCAGCATGTACTTACAAAGTTGTTACATATTCACTACACAGAAAAATCATAACATAAAACTCCGATTTTGAAAAAAATTTATATGAATTGGAGTTAACCGTCTCAGTCTTTTCTGCCATCTAGTGTCCTTTAGGGGTTATTACTACCCCCTGAAGGGGTTTTGCTGGTGGTTGAACCTTCTTCCTCACTTGTCCTTTTATTGCACGTTCTTAGTTGGTGCATGCTCAGTCTGTTATCTTGTTTTCAAACTACAAACCTGCTTCTTTCTGGTGTTACTTCTGTATCGTCCTACATGGCTTTCTTCACAGCCTTGAAGGTTGGTTGTTGATTGGCTGTTTATTTTAAGTGATATGTATCCTGTCTACTTATGAAGAAATTACCTACTTGGTTACATTTTCCTGAACATTTGTTAGTTCCTAGTTAAACATAAAGTACAGATCCTGTTTTCAAGCTCCCTTTTTAATATGGTAGGGTCAAATGTATTAAAAGCATTTTGTTAGTTAATTACAAATTTAATCACACACTATGAGGCACTAGCAACTTTTTTTACTTAGACTAGATATGAGCAGAGCGCTGTGCCCACTGGTAGCTGGTTCTGCTACCTTCACTGCTCTTTGGGGCCAGAAGTGCTATCACTGATGCTGTGCCCCAAACTGAGGGGTGTTACACGCTGTTGTACCTGGGAAGCTTCTGTGCTGTGGCTGTCGTCTGCTGCCAGGTTGATGCAGGAATGCTGCACACAGCAATGTGCCAGAGCATGGCTGGACACGAGCCTTTGGACTGGGAATCAGATTTTTGCTAGGGAGTAAAGCTGTATATGGATTACAATTTTAAATCATGTTACCAATAGCTCTTGTATCTTCTTCACTGTCAAATCTTAGTTAGCAGGGCCTCCTCAGTTAACAGGTTTTGACACATATGTGTGTGCTTGGTCCAGCTGAGGTACACAGTGACAGTGAGAATCTGGAGCAGTAGCAGAGCCTGAGTCCCAAGCAGTGCCAGGAAGCCTCCAGTGAAATCAGATGGGTGAATCCAGTGTGAGGTTTGTAAAAGAAACATACCCAGGCCTCCAGACAGGATTATCATCTTGATGAAGAGTATGATGCGAATCATCTTCCATCCCTCTCCCTGCCCTTTAAATGTGGAATTCACATTTAAAACAAAAGGGATGTGGAAGAGGACGAAGACCAGGCAGGTATACACACAAACCCTGGCTAGTCCCAGTTGCAGTAGACTGATGCCCATGGCCTGCAGATGCTGGGTGTCCAGGCACTGCAGCTGCCCAGCTGTACCATTCCACAGGCAGAAGTTGTAAAAGCCAATGCATTTGTCAGGGATGTTCACCAGGTTCCCGGCCTCGTACAGCAGAGCGTAGCTCATCAGGGCCAGGGTCCCAGCAGCCTCCAGTAAAGCCAGTGCAGGCAGCAGGTTCTTGGCACACCACTGTGGCAGCACACCCATCCTGGTGCCTGCATGCTTTCCTGCTACCATGGTAAGAGCTGCTGTGGGGATGCCTGTTGCAAAACATGAAGGGGGGACCTCTCAGTTGTTGCGTCTTATGGCACCCTTCCCAAGATGGGCTCTGAGCCTTATGGCTGGGGTCTGGGGACTCCCCTTGCAAACAGAACAGGAGTGTCTCAGTCCTGCCTAGGACTGTGCTGCACATGTGTTACTGCACTGTGAGGGGAGTGCATTTGCTACACTTCTGGTCACAGCAAAGGTGTGACCCATGCGTGGACCAGTACTGGGAGGAGGGTATGACTCAGCTCCACACATGCCCTTTGCATCATGATCTCACTGGAAAAAGGCATTTGTCAGCAAACTGCAGGAATGGGAGGAGAGAAAAACTGCTGTCTGGTAAGAAGCATGATAAGAGCTATTCTGGGATAATGCCTTTCTTTCAGCTTTTATCAGACAAGCACATCCCTTTTGGTCTTTGGACTACTGAGTAAAGTGCAGACATGACTGGCTGAACTGCAGGGCTCCCCTTGCCTCCCTGCCCTATTTCCACCTGGAGCTCTGCTACCCACTGAGGTTGGTAGACATGGTGCTCCTCTGTCTCGGTTGCCTGGGGAGCAGTGCCCTACACAGACAGGCAGGTGCCAAGCTCAGAGGGGCACCCTGGATCCTCCTGCAGGCACTGGGACATGGGTGCTACTGAGACACACCTGTGATTGCCATCCACCTTGCTCCTCTCTCAGCCTGGTTGGCAAAGCCGACTCTGCTCCTCTCCCCGGAATGTGTACTGTCCTCTAGTGCCGTCCTGAAGGCTTCTGCTTCACGCTGAAAAACAGGGAAGTGGCATCAGGAAAGGCTGTCACTGCCTGCAGAGCCATATGGCATTTTAGCACTCTCCAGCCAGGTCTGCAGAGAGGCACAAACACAGGACTCAAGGGACCTTGGCTTCAAGCCCAGCCTTAGGCTTGAGGCTTTGCAATTAACTCTTCCTCCCTCTGACAAGCTTCAGCTGCTGAGAATAATTTACCACTCTCCTTTAAGAAGTTCACATTGGCCCTACTGTCCCCTTCCACTGCCTATTACCCAGTGGTATATTATTTACTTAAGAATTGGACTCTGGGTCCCTTCCTGTTCAGAATAGTCTGTGAGTCTGTGATAACCTGGATATCCTCCTAGACAATCACTCAAAGCTGATTATGAATTTGGTACAGCCTGTGAGTTTTTAGAGTGCCAGAAGAGACTCTACTCAATCTGTACTCAGTGCTGTTGACTAGAGACCCTTCAGCATTCCCCTCCCACTCCTCATCTCTCCCTGGAAACTTGGAAGTGGGGCACCTCTGTTTAATGAGCACAGAGATGAAACTTCTCAGTCCCAAATTTCTCCCAAGAGAAGCACACACACAGCATGGAAGGGGGGTCACAGCATCAAATACCAACTTGTCCACTTCCCCTGGTCGCTTTCTCCTCACTTCTTGTAGCCTCCCTTGGAGGGCTTCTTCTCAAAAGGCTTCTGGAGGGACTGGAAGCTCACATGGAGGATGCCCATTTTTCTCAATCTGCAATGAAGACACAAGCAACCAGGAAAATATCTGTGCTTGGGCACAGGATGTGCTGCAAAATGAGACCTCTGGTGAAATGTAATTCACCACGGTTTCTCTTTTCCCTAGTGTTGTTGCTTGGTTTGTCTCACACATGGTCTCCTGCACCCAGGCATTGCTGCTCTTCCTCTCCCTGTCCTGCAAGGGCTCACACCACTCATCATTCTTCCTGCTGCCCTGCCTTACCCTGAGAGGAAGAACAAGCTGCACTTGGAGGGAGCTCTTGGCTGGCTGACCAGGTCTACAGGGATTTCTGCAGCCCAGCTGACTCTTGGCCCTGCCCGCCCACCAACTCTTGCTGTTGTATTTCTTTAGACCAGTTTCCTAGGGAAGGCAGGCTTGTAGAAAGATGGCTTTTTGTTCAGTCATCTCATGCTCACTCCTTTGGTATCCATAAAATGTACAAGCTATCAAAATTTGTCCTAGTTGCACATGTTTACTAGAGAGGGGACAGAGAATTAAATTCCCATCAGGTTTATGGTAACATATGGCAGGGGTGGAGGACAGCCACCTCAGAGACCCTGTGCTGCTGTGTGATCTCTGCATGCATGGGGACCTGGGGAAAGCCCATAGCACCTCTGCCCTCTCCTCTGCTTTGAGGCTCATGTGTGTAAGGACATATTTTCCCAGCGATGTCCCTCTCTTCATGGTTAAATTGCTGGCATTTTTGCCTCCTGCTGCCTCCCCAGCAGGTAAATCTCTGTCCCTATGTGTGACTGACAGGACCAGAAAACATGCCTGGGATGGCCCTGTGCCAGCTGGATGGAGAACTGGCCTGGAGGCAGTGAAGGCTGAGACCTGGCACACAGATAGGACATTGGTGAGCTCTGCAGTTCATCACTGAGGCAGGTTTAGCAGCAGCCTGGCTGAGAAGCGAGAGACAGACAGGAAAGAGCTCTCACCCAGTCTACAGCTTGGGTTTTCACAGACAGTCTCACTGTCTCTAAGGAGGTGTCTGTGCCTTTGGATGGGAAACTCTGTGGCTCTTCCTCAAAGGTGCAAGAAAGGGGAACCTGAACATGGCACAGGGAGCTCCAGCCTGGAGCCAGCCTCCTTGTTCCTGGACTGGCATTGATGGAAACACTGGGTTTCACCATAGCAGAGCTCTGTGTCTCAGTCTCCCTGGCAGAGACAGGCCCCGTGGGAATGGCTCAGGAGCTCCCTGAGGTCTCTGTGTGGGACATAAGGCTCTTGGCACCCTCTGTGCTTTTGGGACTGCACAGCCCTTCCCTCTGCTGCTCACAGGCAGTGGGCACCCTTGCCAGGCTGGGGCTGTGCCTTCCTCCGGCAAGGAGCAGGCAGAGCCCCTGGGCAAGGGGACAGGAGGGCACACAGCCCTGGCACAGGATCTGTGCAGGGACAGGCATCTCTGTGAGCCACTGGATGCCGCTGCAGTGGGGCTGAGTGCAAGGAGGCGAGGGAATGGGCATTTCCTTTGGCACTGAAGAGCCCCCCAGACAGTTTGACTTTCCTGTCTCTCCTCTCCCTGGCTGCTGAGGGGAAAAATGCTGTACAAGAGTAATGGGAAAGTGTCATGCTTTGGACATGACACTCTTCCTTCAAGACATCTGTCGGGTCCCTTCACCACCTCCCCACCCCA